TTGTTTTTCACTTCACTGTGCTGACTGTAATAGAGCACCGAGATTGATTTTATCTTCTATAAATATGTGACAAAAAAGAACAGAAATAAAGATTGACATTGACTGACATCTATCTGAATGTATTGTTCATTATGAAATTGTTCAAATAAAATTATAAACAAGCTCATCGTATTATGTCGATTGTGTATTGTCATCAAAGGGTGGATGAATTATAACATCAGGCATTGAACTCTTGTCTGTTTCTTGTATATCTTGAATAGCTAGAAATAAATGAATTGAATTTCTTTCCGTTTTTTTTTGTTTGGTATTCGTTTAGCAGGTATTTCGTTGTTTGGTATAGTGACATTAAAGTTGGTGTTCCACTATCTGATATTATATAATGTTCAAAGATGAAGCAGTTTTTTGATAATGAGGAACAACAACTTTAATGTTTTCACATATTCCCGATGAAATATCTGCTAAATACAATTTTTTTCCGTTTATGAAATCTTCATACTTGTTGCAATAAAAGTTTGTCCATTTTCATCTTGACTAACATCAAATCGTGATACATGTGTACTATTATATGCAACACGTCCAGTCGTATCAACCCAATCTATAGTTGATAATGTTTCATCATCATCTGTTATATCACATTTATCACGTTTGTCATCTTGACGTTGTTGATGTCTTGGTAATGTTCTTTCAATATCTTCAACAACTTCAGATAATTTACGAAAACGTTCTTTAATTAATTTTCCATATATATTATGTTCTGTTTCTTCAGCTTCATATAAACCTGGATAACTTGTATCATCAATAACATTTACTGATGATGATGATGATGCACTAAGTGCTGTTGTTCCAATACCTAAAAGTTCATCATTAACTGGTAATGTTGATGCACCTGAATTTTTAATCGATAAAAATTCTGAATATGGTCCAATAATAATTTGTGGTGGAGCTGAATTTGGTATTGGAATAGGATTTGTTAGTTTTCGACTTGTAAGACTTGATGAACGCATAGCTCGATTTGTACCCGATGATAATAAAGCTGATATAGGGAATTTCACATCATCAGGTGATGATACAGCTGTAAAATTTAATATTTCATCATCATCAATTTCTTTTATTTTCTTATCCAATGATTTCGTTGAAGCATTTTCAATTAATGTTGTTTGATCATTTGATGATGATGTTTGCATTTTTTGTACAAGAACATTAAGTAATTGTAACGTTGTTGCTTGCATATCTTCAAGACGTTGTAAACGTTCATCAAAGTTTTGAAAATAACCTGTTTGTTGAGTACTATTTCGTTTTAATGTTTCAACACGTGTTACCATATGTGAAACTCTAAAATAGAATTATCTATAATTCTAGAGAAAAACCAAAGCAAAAATAAAAAACAGGAAATTATTTACCTTTCTGATGTTGTTAACATACGTTCTTCAACTGTACTTTTTTCTTTATCTTCTTTAGCTAAAAGATATTCATGTACACA